GACGCTCACAAACAGAACGGTGTTGGTTTGAAGCAAGCACAGCATCCAGGATTGGGCAAGACCCATTCCAAGCAACCCCATCCCAGATGGGCATTTGGGGCACGGCTGTGGGACCGATGCCATTCGTATCTGCTTCTACAGCACCGTGCCAATGGCCTCATTTCAGAGCTCCTTGGTGCCAGCTTCCAGCCTGAAGCACTTGTAGGTTTTCCCTTTCAAGAAGAGCTGACTTATCAAAACCTAGGTTTTTCTAACAGAAAACCACAAGCCAAGCCACGTTATTATAATTGAAGCAATTAATTACTTTTATGCCTTTCTTTTAAAGAGATCTTTAATGCAGGTAATTCTGACTAAAAGCTCATTTGAACCGCTCCATCTTTTAAAGGACAATTACAAAAATTAATTTGGAAAGCGCAAAACGAAGACAAAAGGGAAAAAGGAAAGCAGGGGGAGATGGGCAGATCCACGGGCTGCAGCATCACACCCAGCCTTCATCCCAAGGCACACTGATGGAGCACTCGGCTCCAGCACAGCTGTGCCTGCAGGCACACAGCACTCAGCACCAGGCATCAGAGCCCAGGCTGGGCTTCCCTTCAGCACTGAGCTGAGCAGAGATTGGAAATACAGTCTGATGAACACAGCTTCAACTGCTTTACGTGGCAGTGAGCTTGTTTGCATTGATTACACCAGAGGCAGAGGCAGGGATGGCGATTTGCCTTTTTCAATTTGTACATGCAGCAATTACCTTTAAAAAACAAAACAAAACATAACAATCACACATTGGTGGTGAACCACAATGGCTCCAGTTCTCCCAAGACTTGGAAAATTGTGGCCATCAGACGTTTGCTGCTGACAGCGTTTTGCCTATTACTAATGCTCTGATATTTACTGATGTCCTGGCACCTTCCTGCTCCCTGCCATAAATCCAGCTACAAAAAAGTCCCTGAGAGGAAGAATCCAAACACCCAATGTTGTACGGCAGCCAAGCCTGTCAAAAACAAACTCGGTGTGAGCTAAAGAGATCGTGACCCACAATGACAAAACAAAATGTCACCAAAGGGATGAAGCAAAACACAGTTGCCACATGAACCCCAAACACATTATTTCCATCTTCCATCCGGGCTCTCAAAGACGGATTAGATCTCAGCACACAAAGTATCAGAGCCATTAAGTATCAAGTTTAATAACCAGTATTCCCAGGCTTACAGCGAGCAGCGCGAGACGCGGCGGTGCCAAGATCTGTCAACAGCACCATTTCCCAGAGGGAAACATTGGATGTGAAGCACAAACAGATGCCAGAGTGGAAGAAAACCCACACGACTCTCGTGTTGCTCCTATGGCCAATTTCCACCCGCTCAGCCCCAGCTCTGGATGCTCCATCCCACGCTGGGCTGGCACAGCCTGCCTGCTCCCTGCTTTTCATCCACTATCGATCCCTGCCATGGTATCCTTATCTATTTTTTAAGGCAGCTCGGGTCTGCAGTAAGCAACCAAAGGGAACAGAAGTCAATTTTCTCTGTTCCAGGCGAAAGGTTGTTATTCAAGGGGCCAAAGGCCTCTGGGGCTCCGCTGCAGCTATCACATTACAGCTGTGTGGCTACAGCAAAAAAACATACTTATATATATTTTTGTACTCCATTGAATTTGTCAAGTTCTATATATTTATATCTTGACATATCAATAATATACGTCTTGACAAATTCAATGGACTAGCTCTAAGAACACACTTCGTAATACTTAAACTTGAATAGTTCTTCCACCTCCACGGCTGCAGCTCTGCTGTTCTGGGATCTTTAGCATGGTTTCTGCAGTGTTTCACAGCTCTGTTATTGATGGTGATCTGTTATTGATGGTTGATGTTATTACTGGTGATCTCTATCTTGCTGAGGGACACCCTCACCAAACCAACCTATCCTGAAGATGACTCCCAAGAATTTCTTCACTATGTATTTCATGCATTGAAATATTTCTAGAGAGAAGTGGAAAGATCAGGTTGGGCAGATGGGTTTGACCTGAGAGCTATCAGTGTGAAAACAACCGACTTCTCCACAGCCTGAGCTTATGGAAACCGTGGGAAATGCGATTCTTCCCCAGCTTCAATGAATTAACACACAACACAAATTAAACGGAGCCATAGTTTGATCCCAGTGTGTGATACACTGCCACCAGACATCCACAATCAGTTCAAATGAGAGCAAATTCAGCACCAAACAAAACCCGTATCAGCTGCGACTTCCCCTCAAAGCACAGGACAAAAACTGGAGACGGGGGAACACGTGGATGGGTTTGTGCTCTTGTAAGAGAGGCACAGCTGCTGAGAACTGAGGGAGGAAAACCCAGAAGGCAAAGATCATTTAAAATGTATTTTGTGAAGCAGATGACATCTGAAAACAAAGCGCGTACATTCTCTATCACAACCTGGAAACACATGAAAGCAGCTACAAAACAAGTCCACGAAGAAGCCCCGGAACAAAGATCTTTGGAAGCAGCAGAGCAGCTGCAGAGGTGTCTCTGCTCCTTCACTTTGAAGCTGTAGATAAGGGCAGGCAGTGGAAAACATGACTTATCAGCTCTGGCAGGCAGATTTTGACATTCAAATCCAATTCCCTCACCATGGTGAATTTCTCCACCAAGTGAGACCCTCTGCATATGCACATCTTAACCAACAGTGGGGATCCTTGTGCAGAACGTGATGCATGCTGGCTTCCGAGCAAGAAAGGTGAGCCAAGATGCCTCACACAAGACCCCCTGTGTGCTCCCAACAACTTGTACTGCAGATGCAGCTGCTGGGTGCACCTCTGAGCAAAGCCAAGCTGCCACCTTCCCACCAACTGCTGTCCCAATGCTTGCTCCAGCTGGGAGAGCTCCACGTCCCACCATCACAGCACAGAAGGGGAGTTGGGGTGCAGCCATTTACAGTAAGATTTCCCACCAAAGGCAGCTCTGAAGCCTTTGTAGAATTTCTAATTAAAAGCACTACAAATTGTTTAACAGAACAAAACGAAACTAAACCACACCAGTCAAATAAGGCAATCTATTTCCAGGTCCTGATCAAGAGGTAACTGACATTTAAATACAGATTTCAAAAGCCATTTCATACACATTTTGCCTTCGTTCCCATTCCAGTGGGAGCCAAAGCCAGCTCCATGTGCTGAGTGAGCTCCCTTGGAAATGCTGCCATTATATACAGCTCAAAAATGGATGTGAGCTATATGAAATACAATTTTGTTTGTGTACATCTCAGGGCTGGATTAAAACTATTTATAATGCTGAAGAAATGAAATATTCGGCTGCGAGGTTCTTCAATAGAATTGGTTATCTGGCTGTAAGTCTATCTGCAGTATTACCAATAATTAAAACTAGGTCTTCATAGAGGGGGGAAAAAAGGCTTTTAGCTCTATTTTCAAGCTGAATCATATCAACATGTTTAAAGAGGAGATATGAGCTCTATTTATTCCTCCTATGGGCAAAAATTATTTTAAAAAAATGGGGAAAAATGAGTCATCTGAATTTAATTATCAGGCTCTGAGTTGTGAAGGCCAGCTTTGAAAAATGAAATTTAAAATAAGACACGCTGCAATTCTGCTTCTGGGACTGAAAAGTTGACTTTGAGAATGGCAAACGAGGCTCCTTTGAATTGACTGGTGTGCATCAGCTATTGGGGCTGATGGTTGGATCTCAGGTGATTTGAGCCTTAATGATCCTATGATCCCATCTCACGGTGCTGCAGGAATGCAGGATGAGCCCCAAAGCCCCAAGGTGCATTTGGTGTATGTGGTCCTGTTCAGTCTTCTGCCCTCCCCGTGTGCCTACCACTGAAACTTCAAGGGTTTAATTCCCAAAGACTCATTTGCCATTTCTGAATTTCTACCATGGAGTATTTAGGGGTAGTTTATTAATTATTTCCAGCAGGCTCCCACTGACAGGCATTGTTTCGTTTCTGATATGACAAGACAGGAGGCTGCACTGGCAACACCTCCAGGCTGAATAATGTTTCTTAACTAGTTTACATTCATCTTTACCACATACTACAGATGACTGATCCTCCCTGCAGTACATAATGGCTAAGATGTAATGGGGCCCTGAAATATTTATGCATGCTAATAAAAACAGTTTTGTTTTGTTTTTCCCCATGAAAACATCAAATTTTCAACAGGGTCTCAGGAACAGTAAGCAACTGGTGGATGGTAAATGGTTCCCTCACATTCATACATCCAGAACATTCAGATCCACACTATCAGGCAAGTATAGATTACTTAAATAAACATTATTTGTGGCAGTGAGAGAATCCTCACAAATGATGGTAATTTAACTTCCCATGGATAACCCCAGACAGCACCTAAAACACTTTGCTTTTCCCATCCAAGGATGTCAGGTCTAAGCTGACCCCCCCTCTCCTTTGCTCATGGTTTGGGACTCGACCACAGGCTGAAGCCCCTGGCTGAGCATAATGGAAGCAATATTGCCAAATCCCCTTCGTGAGCCCTCAACTTCATCTGGGCAGCTCTTGTGTACGAGAGGAAAAGAATCCATGCAGCATTTATTATACATAAAAGCAGTGCTTCTGAAAGCATTTCTCAAGCAAACTTAATGGTATGCAAGAGCCATTGAAATTCCACGCACAGCCGCGTGGCTGAAGAACAAACTGATCTGCAGAAACATTTGCCAGAGGTTCATTAGCAGTAAAGTCAACTCGTCAGCAGCATATTTAGCAATAATCAGAAAACAATCAAGTAGAAATGTTGCTCTGAGCGTGGCAATGTTTGAGTTGGGTTTCTTAGGTTTGATTGCTGCAGTGACGTCCTACAGCGGAGGTTTAAACCGGTCACCACGAGGTTCACCAAGTAAATAAAGGCATCCACAAGAGATCCATCAGAAGGCAGCAATCAAATCTGGGGATCACTGGGAACCACCCCATCCCAGCACTATGAACACCCATGAAAATTTAGCAGCTCGTATACGACAGTAAGGACAATAATTAAACAAGACCAGAAACCTACCAGAGCGAGGATCCCTCTGTTCCAGCAACTTCTAACACGTCATATCCATCTTCCAGCTGAAAATCCATGAACACCAGAGCAATGGTGTCTCCGGGTTCAGCGAGAATAGTCCACGTGCAGTCTGCATTATTGCCATACTCCAGAGGAAAGTGTGGGCTTGAGATAATTCCACTCTGTCCCCTCAGCGTCCCTCCGCAAGCATCATCAGCTGCAAACAGAGAAGGCAAGTTATGATGTTGTGCTGAAACGCACGAGCAGTGAGTCAGAAAAAAGTCCAAAAGCAAACCTTTGAATTCTTCTGTAGTAAGATAAGGCCTTTGGATGGTTGGGTTGGATATTATTTGTATGCCATATTCAGAATAAGAGAAAACTTACTGATTAACATCCTCTCCCTTTCTGCTTTTTTTTCTTTTCTTTGTTATTTTTGTGGTGGCTGGTTTGTTGTTTTAAGAAGCAATGCTGATTGATATGAATCAATGGTTAAATTTGATGGCAAAAATCAAACAAGCAGCAGCATATAAAGCCTACCATCAGATCAGAAGCAACTCTTCAAAGCTCTGAGCCTTCCTGAGCAAAGCTCCCTGGGCTCTGGAGGAGCAGAAGGAACCACACACCACCTGATTTGCACACCAGCACCTGTGCACAGCATTTTTCAAGGGCAAGGGCAGCATTCAAGCTTGCAGCAGGACAGATATCTCGATTGATCAAAAGCTTTCTTAAAAAGCAAAGTGTTTTCCATTCGACTGATAAAATTCTGGCCCTAACCCACGTCATCAAATACAGATTGATAAGAAAATCTTTGCATTGAAAGTTCAGACACGTCTTTGTTAAGTGGCTTTTGGGAGAAGCACAGGGGGCTTTTTTACCACACAGTACTAGGAGAAAGTTGTTGAGAGATGCAAAATCCTATTAGGGCAGCCAGTCTGCCTCCCTGCAAGTGCCAGCTTATTCCTCATTGCATGCTTACCGTAATTTGTTCAGTCTAGTTTTAACCACCCCAAGGACAGAGCTGCTGCTGCTCCATGGGGAGGTTGCTGCAGCCCGATGTGTGTGGCTGGCAAGATGCTCAGTCCTCACGTTACTGCCTCAGTTTTTGTTCCATCCCTTCATTCTAATTGGGCTCCTAGGAGGCGTTTTCCACAGCTTTCCTCCCATCCGTGCAGCCAGCAAAGCAGGAGGAGAGCCACCAAAATTCAAAGGCTGGCAGCAGCAGGTTGGTGGCTTTAAGGAGCTTTCAACCCAACTCACAGCGATGCCAGCACCTCCATCAGCAAGACAAGCACCCCAAGGACCACAACATCAGCACCCAGGAGTACTAGCACTGTATTTAGTGAATCTGAATTTAACAGAAGGGATTGGAGAATCTCGCTGCCCTGCCTCACATGTTTTGGTTTCTGTTTTTTTAAGGTAATGGGTAGTTACCAAATCAGTGCTAAAACAGTTTATTCACAAATCAAGCTGTGACATCTCCTGGCTGCGTAATGATCCCTCTGCTGCAGGATCTTTCAGTTTTGCAACCTGAATTCCATCAACAGGAGCTATTAGAGCAATTAAAGGAGGGAGATCTAAGGAAAACACAGGCATGAAGATAAAGGAAGCCAAGCATTAGTGTGACTTGCATCAGAGCAACTCGTGGCTTCCCCACCTACAGCATCAGCCTGGAGTTTGTTTGGCGTGCAGCTCAGAAAAGCCCGTTAACCTTACATGTGTTACAGAGCAGCATCTCTGATGCTTTAGTCAAGGAGCTCGGGGCTTTACAGCATAAACACTTCCTTTTATTACCAACTTTAAAAAAAAAAAAAATACCTTCAACACTGAAACTGAACACAGGTGGGAATATTTGTACACCCAAAGACAGAGCAGAGAATCCCACAGGCAGCTCGGGATGGTGGCTTGGCTTTCAGCTCTCATCAGGATGCAGTGCCTTGAGCACAGCTCTGCCAGCTGTTCTCCTCCCTCAGGGCCATCTGCTGCCCCAACATAGGCAGGAGGCACAGTTAGGGTTTGGGTTCACGCCTGCCCAACCGTGGCCATAAGTGGGGGGAGCCGTGGCACTCGATGCTCTGTTGCTTGGAATTCAAAGATACCTGTATTTCCAATGAATGACATTACTGGTATTGGTATAGACACCAAAGTGCAACTGAAACCATCAGGTAATGGCAGCCAAAAGATTTCTCATGCAGTTCAGCTCTCCGTTCAAAGCAGGGCTGATTTTCAGGCTAGATCACATTGCTTACGGCTTGCCACAACACACTGCTGGACAACTGCTGATGCTGCAACCAAGTCAGGCCCCAGGAAATCTTTCAAACTTGACACAGGATTCACACTTGAGTCTCTAAAGGCGGCCCTTTCCAAAAAGTGAAAGAGCTACTTGCAAAGCCCTCTTCTCCTACAGAATAGAGTGAAAATGCTTTTAAGAGGATGAGTGGTTTAAGCCAAAGAGGATCAGCATAAATCACCAGTTTACTGTATGTTCACATTTTAATATCTCAGGAATAAGATCCCCTATAAATACTAGAAAGAAACACATGCAAAGAAAGATTCTCAGCCAGTGACCTCTTCCAAACCACACACCTAACTACCAGCTGCTTCAGCAACGCACTGAGATCCGAAGAAGCCCATGTATTCTTCAGATACCTGCCCCACTGGGGCTGCTAATGCCAACTCCATGTCTGACATCAACCACTGCAGGCACCCACTCACAACACCTCTGCACACAAAGCCCTGCACCAACTACAAGCAATCCAGATTCTGGATGTCAGCCCCACGGCCTGCAGGGCACAGCTGCAATGGCCAAACAAGCTGTTCCTCTTGTGCTCATGCACTCTTGCAGTCCAGAACCCATAAACACACCCAAAAGCAAACCCTTTTGCTTTTGCAACAAGCTTTTCTTCCAGGCAATTTCTCAGCCACATTTACTGCTGGGGTCTTGGAACTCTGAAGCAGCATCTGCCCCTGTAGAAGGAGAAACGGGAACTACACCAAAGAACTTTGACTTGATGCTGTATTAGAGATTTGCAGAGCTTTCTACCATTAAAATACGTTCTACGACCTTCTAAAAATCTTCTTGAACAGTCATTCAATTATTTTGGGCATGGTACAATCTAAGCAGCTGTTGGAGTTATAAGAAGACAGACCACTTTTAATGAGATTATGCATATTTGATACTCTTAAAATGTAGCTTTGCAAATGTTCTCAACTTCTCAGCTGGCTTACTGAATTTTTACTCAGACGCCTACCAGAATCATAAACCTATCAGTTCTACTTAAATTCAGCAAACAATCTGGGCAAGACTTCTCTCCACATGCCTGAAAGTGCCTTATGAAACAGACATTTCAGAGCATTCTTTCAGAGCTGCAGAATTACCACCCTGCCCTGCTGGAAAGGAACTGGGGGTACTGGTATGGTACTGCTGGCCATGAAATTTGCCCTCACAGCCCAGAAAGCCAGCTGTGTCCTGGGCTGCATCAAAAGCAATGCAGGCAGCAGGGTGAGGGAGGGGGTCTCAGAGAGGTGGTGGTCTCCTCCCCCCTGGCAACATTCAAGGTCAGGCAGGATAGGGCTCTGAGCAGCTGATGGAGCTGTGGGCGTCCCTGTTCATTGCAGGGGAGGTGAACTAGATGGCCTTTAAAGGTCCCTTCCAGCTCAGATGATTCGATCCTATATACAGAAAACTGTGCAGGATGTGACATACAAGATGCAACAGGGAAGCCATACAATACCCTGACACACTACAGATGGGAAAAATGCCAGCCTAGATCAGAGCCTGGAGTCAGCACCAGGCTCACGGAGGACGCCCAGTCTTGAGGTGTGTCTGCAGGCTGCCCATGTGCTCCCAGGCAGAGCCAAGCCTCTCCCCCAGGCCCTGCCATGGGCACATCAGCACAGAGATGCCACCCGCTGCTGCTTCACTGCTCCCAGAATGAGATCACCACAGTTTTAGTCCTTCCTGCCACATAAGCAAGGAACATAATTCACCAGAACAGAGTATTGCCGAGTGATTTTTAGCTCAGAGTCCAAGAATCAATTCTGATATAACTGTGCTTTCTAAACCACCGGGGAGCCGCAGCACCACCACTTCCAGTGCTTCTCCACTCCACTCCTTCCGCATCTGGGATTCCTTCCTGCTTTCCTTTCTCATTAAGAATACACTTATCCCTTATAAAAACAGTACTTCTAAACTGAGAGATGGGTGAAGGGGTGCAGACATCTCATGAAGACAGAGCAGCTGAGCCACAGCACTCCTCTCCAAGCACTGCTGCCCTGGCACCGCCGAGCTCCAGCTTCTCGAACGCATTCATTTCTTATTCTTTTCCTACCATGCATTTCTTTGCATCTGATTATTTCAATGCACGAGGACTGGAACAATGGAGACAAGGCTACCAAAATATAAAAAAGGATGCTACAGAGAGGAAAGCAGGTACAAAGACAAGAGCATAAGGGAACCAGAGAGAAGGTATTGATCAGCGTGGTCGGAACTTCCTGCTGATTTCCGCACTTGTCTCCCACCTCTGCCCTTGCAGTGGGAGGGGAAGAAGCAAAGGGCAGTCCCCACTGAATGCAGTGACATCAGACAAGTCTATTCCCAAGACAGCTGCTCCCCAGATTGTAACACCTGCTCAGCTAGAGGGCATCTTTCATCTTCATTTGTCTGAATGTGACCCAGCAGCACGACCCATCTCCAGCTTGCGTTAGAAAAGAAAACACACATTCATTCTACAAACTTTCAGACACAAATCACCAGTAAGCCAATATTGACAGAATTAATTACAAGCTATGCAAGCCACAAAGATCTTCCATCTCTCAGGGAAATACATATTCCTCCTCAGGCAGTAGTCTTTCAAACACGATTTTCCCTGCAGAAGAAGGCACCAAATCTGCCTGCCTGCCTCTTCACCCCTTGCAACAACAGAATTTTGTACCACCAGTTTATCAGCCAAGCACCAACGTCTGACGGCTGAAACCCACTTCTGGTAGAAGGAGTGCAGCTGGTTTTCAAACTCAGCGAGTCAATTTGCAGATTGTCTTTGCTACTTTCTGCCTTCCTGAGACAAGATATAAATGTTACATGAGGAGATTTCTAGTTCCTGCCTCCAAAAAAAAAAACTGCTGTGGAAGTTTCAGTGCCAGCTTTGAAGCAGCAGGATCCAATCTTTCAGGAAGGAGTGCTGCACCTCCAGGAGCCTGCAGGCTCACAGCACCACGAGCACAGCTCAACAAGCCAACGCTTCCCTGAGATCAGAGCAATTCACACAGCACCGTTTCAAGCACCATAGAATTTAATATTCCTTCATTCTGAAGTACATCAGACGCCTCCATCATCGTTGCTGGATTCAAGATTGAAACAGTGGTGTTAAAATTAAAATTGAGCTTGGCAGTGCAAGACAAAAATGTAGAGATGGTCCTTACTCCATCTGCGAGGGGATTGCATCAAAATTACAACCATGCCAACCTTCACGTTTCAGTACTTCAACACCTGTTGGGGTCAGAAGTTAATCCTTCCCTTATTGCAGACTGCTACACAAATACCTGAATAATAGCTGGGCCACGGGAAGATGGCACGCTTCCTTTGGAGGGAGGTGAAGGATACACAGATCCATTCAAGCACAGAATCTGCTATTTTCTAAAAAGGCCGTTGCCTTGTGCGCTCTCAAAGCTGAATGCAGGCGCATGCACACGCACTTCTGTTGTTTCTGTTTGTTTTTAACTTCATTGGTTTGTTTGCTTTTCAGGTGACAGTGAGTCCTGATTCAAAGGAAAAGCACAGACTCATAAGCAATGACACTCAGGTGGCAATGGCAGCTGTCCCTCTGCAGCACAGCATGGCTGGGTGAACCTTCAGTGCTGTGATGCCCTTGGCTCCAAAGCAGCAGGTAAGCACACAAGAAATACACAACACAGCACACATCCCTGCTGTGTAACTCATTCAAGAAAGCATTAAAAATACGCCAAGCAAACAATATTTGTTCATTTTAAATTCAAGATTTATGCTACAGCTTAGAACTGCTAATTGATTGCACAAGCAGAGTCAATAAAAAGAATCAATAGAAGATGCTCTGCTGAAGTACACAAGGAATTGAGGGGAAAAGATTTGAAAGCAGCAGCAACTGTTTTGGTAAAACAACACAGACACTTGTATATTTACAGCCTCTCCAGTCCCTCGTGGCTCCAGAGGATTAGCAGGAAGCTCTCTGTGCTGATAAAGGAATCAAAGCTGCACTGTCCCAAAGGGCCTGCAGGAAAGCTGCCCATCCCTGCCCAGGTGTCACCCCCCCACTCACCTCCCCTGTTGGAGGCTGCAGCCCTCAGCACATCTGCACAGACCCCCTTCTCTTTACAGGCAGCCAAAGGGGAACTGAGGTTGATGTGGGGGAAGAGCAGAAAATTCACTCTAAATTTCCCAATATTTGATGCAGAAAAATGCACGGCCTTAGGAAGATGCCTTGCTGCAATGGATAATGTGGCTGCTGCTTTTTTTTTTTTTTTTTTTGCCTCTATTTAAACAAAGGAATTGGAGTTAAAGCAGCGGTGCAGCATTTTGAATACTTTGAGCACTTCATAACCTTCCCATTAGTCACCCAAGTCCTGGCAGCTTCAGGGAATCCAATAAAAAGGAACCTCAATATTAACTACATCATGTTTAGATTTCAACTCTTTTAAATCAAGCTCACGCTCCATGAAGTTTTTCCCAACCCCAAACAGCTCGTTAAATCCCTCTTCGTTGTTGCAGAAGGAAGGAGGGCACTTTACCTCTGCAGAAGGGGAGAGGAAAATCCCAGGAGGCTCCGTTCTCCATGCTGGCGTGGCACGTGAGCACAGCGTGGCCCTCCAGGAAGAAGCCAGGGTTGCAGCTGTACCTCACTTTGTCCCCGATGCTGAACGTCGTTCCTTGCTGCACACCATTCTGCAGCCTGCCTGGGTTCCCACACGTGTGACTGGGGAGAACTGCCAAAAGAAAGTGACTCTGGTTAGGGAAATGGGGCAGCGAAAGTGAAGCGTCGTCAGGTGGGGAATGCAGAACTCCAAGTGAATTACAGTGTAAGAGCAAATAACCATAGAGCTGAAGTCATGAGGCTGGTGATGGTCAACAGTTGTGTGGGCAGCAATGAGGGAAAGGAAGGACTCATCTGTAGGGAATGTAGGGTTGGCCCTCCTGCCCTCAGCCCCACTTTGGTCACTCCAGAACCTGAATAGTTCCATGTTCAGCAATAACTTCACATCAAAACAGCAATGACCGCACGTTGCAAAGAGTTGGGCGATGCTGTGGAACACGTCAGCTGGGTTGAAAAGCAGTGCAGAACTAATGTTTCATTTTCTGTAATGATACTCAGAGCCCCAATTTAATTAAATTACCAATGTCACTTTAAAAAAAATTAAAATGAACCCAACTCTTGGTTTTATGCTTCGTTCCTTTAAAATTAATGACTAGAACTTCGCTATAAATAAAAATCTATCAATTTAAAAAGTCACTCTAACACTAGCTGCTCCCTACTTAATGAACCGTGAAGAATCAGACAACCCCAACCTGCATCGTATCTTAAAATCATACTTGAAAAACAGGATCTCATTTAAAAATCCTGCTTCGTTTGGCTGCCTTAACTAACTAACACCGTGCTGCAGGACGGATAGCACACGTGCTTTTGGGGGAAGCAACATTAACTCCTTGATTGCTTTGGATTCAATGGGGCTGCTGACTGAGTTGATTTTTGCTTTTATTTTTTTTAAAGACACTGGTGCACATCTGCAGAAGACAAACACTTCGGCATCACGAACCAAAAAACCTCCCTGCACAGAGCCTGGTGCTTTCCAGGTTAACGTCAGCAGCAGAGCCAGCTGCCACATGAGGATGCTCAGTCGCACCCCTGAGGTCTGCATGCAGGAGACCAATCCATCACCCCAAACGTGAGCTGCTGATGTTCCCCTTCCCCAGTGCTCCTGAGAAAGCCCAGCTGCATTGAAGCCCCACAGCAGCTGCCAAGGTGGGAGCCCAAGATCCTGAGGTGCCTCTGGGAGCCCAGCATGGGATGCAGGTGCCTCGGATTTAGGGCCAACCCCAGCTCACCAAACCGGGGCAGCAACTGTGTTGGCACCAAAGGATTTCAATTCTACTCCAACATTCCTTAGAAGAGAGAATATTATTGCTCATCCTTGACTGCCTCTAACAGCCAGACTCTGATTGCTTGAGAGATTAATAGAACTGTATTATTTACATCAGATGTCGCACAGAATAATATTATTAAAGCTTTGTCTTACCCATTTACCAATTCCACTGTAGATTATTAGCAGCACGGATTTTTTTCATCCCCATAAAAGCTTTGTTCCTGGCAATCAACATAATATTTTCCAGTGATTGTATGGAAATGAATGCAGCCACAGACCAGATTGGTGCAGATGAATAGAATGTCCTGTTAGTCATTTTGTAGCAAAGTCTGTTGCTTTCCACGATGAATGTAGAACAGTTTATTTTATTTGTCTTGATTTGAAGGGCTGCCAAACCCTTACCTTATTTTATGTCAGAGGAAAGGAAATAGGGTTATGCTACTGCAGTTGCACCTCATCAAACCATAAACACCAGTGTCCTGAGCGCTCCCTGAGGTGACACTGCGGAGGAACCCTGGCCATGGGGTAATGGCAGCATGGACCGTGAGGCCCTGAGCTCACGAGGGGAGAAACCATGGCTGCAATTGTGCCAAGAGCCTGAAAACTGCTAAACAAACTGGAAATGGAAACACAGCATTGGATCAATTTCCACCACCCAAACGTACAAGCTGTTGCAGAGCAGCCGGAGCTGACAACCATCAGAAGCTTCACACCATTCCCTGACTTCCACTTTGAACCCTGTTTGGCTTTGCCCTTTCTCAGCCCCTCACCCGGGATCACCATGTTGGAAAGTCCCAACATCAGAAGCTTTCAAACCCTAGCACTCGTCAAGCCAGGTCTCCTCGTTCCAGTTCATTCGAAATTAATTAGTAGGTTTTAAGTCATTAGATGTGACTCAACGCATCCTTGGACAGCATCCCACCATCAAGACAAATTCAGGCTAATTACATCAGCCTTTCCTAAAACCCCATAGGCTGTTTTTTCTCAGGAAAAACAGGCAAAAGACCCAGAGGTGCTTCTCATCCTGCTCATCACACCGACACATCTGAGTTACGTTACCAGTTCAGGTGCTTTCAAACAAAACCTCAAATCCATCCCTACTTCTCTCGCCATTCAGAAGAGGAATCCTCCCTGCTTCCTTTCAAATTAATCTGCAGCTCTATTTCCTCCCTACATTGTTTGAATATAAACTAACCCCAACATTTAACACATCTAGCTACCACATTCCAGTCTATTACCCTATTTACATAGCTAAGAGAAACATTTTTATTGTTTGAATCATCTATGGTAGTTTATGACAGATATTTCAATGCTATCATTGTTGTAACCTTGAAATCTTATCAAGGAGAACAACTTTTACGATATGAGATCATACATCATCTCCTCACTCAAAACTGATTTTCATTCCTGAGCTTAAAAGAAAGAAAAAAAGCAAAGCAAGCCAATGCCAGAGCAGGCACTTATAGCTCCTGAGTGCTGCTACTACAGCAGGAATAATTTATAAATCCCCATGAAAGGATGCTGCATAGACAAAGCAAAATAACAAAACCATTGACCTAAACCAGTTGGCTCAGCCAACAACTCATTTCCAAAGTTCATCTCCAATATACTTTTGTAAGGTCTCTATTTGACTGCACTTCCCAAATGCAGGCTGGGTGGAAACCGCAGCACCCAAAGCCAGTGATGGGCACTCAGTGCTGGGCAGAGCAGCGTTCCTGGCTGCTGCCTTGGGTACCTTCCCAGAAACCCAAAGAGAGCAGAACAGATCCCAGAAAACCAGCATCACGTTGGCACAGAACCCTCAGCCAGCGCAAGGGTGAACTGCAGGGAGAGGTGGGGGCCCATGAGCAGCACCTTTCTCTCCCCTTCTGCCCGTAACTGTGGGGCTCAGTACCACAGGGATCCTCCATCAACCTCCAGTATCTCCCAGCGGTGTTTCAGTGCAATCTGTTTTAGTTCTGAAGAGTTGTAACCTTCAGAATACGTGTCCAGTATGTGTTACAGAAAAGGAAATAAATGGTATCTTCTTCATTTCATTTTATCCTTTTTTATGTCATGATTCATTTCCAGTACTGCCAACAGAGATAAAGCTAAATGGAAACTATTTTTTCCCTCTAATATTTCTTTGTTCACTAAAAAACAGCTAGATAGTTACTTCTGGATAATAACAGACCAGAATGATTCACCATCCATCTTCTTTGCAGTAGTAGTTCTAGGGCTTTTTTGGAAATTCATTTTCAGTTTTCAATTTCCCCTCCTGCAATGCACTACAGCAACCCCAGCACAACTTCCCAGAGCATCGAGAGAGAGCTGAGAGTGCTTCAGATCTGATTAATCACCCCGCTGCAGAAATGGCATAAGATTCAAAACATGAAAGCAATGAGATCACAGTGGATCTCTAATGCCCCTCTAATGCCCACCGACCAGGTTGGCCCAACTGCAGAGCTGCTCAGTGTGCCACCCCGCTGCAAACCGTGTGAATACAGCTGGATAGAGGAAAGCTGTTATTTGCACCTCAGCTCTCTGCAGCACCAAATCAAAGGTTTGAGCTCTCAAAGCACACGACCCTCAGGAATAACGTGTGACTGACAGCGGGATTGATGTAGCCCTTGTCACATACTTACACAAGTATGTAAGTACACACACGTAGGTAGTTATTGCGGTCCAAATGTCAGCCATTTCTCACCGCTGGTCCAAACAGGACAAGGAGAGTTGGATTTACAAACCACCATGTTCTAAAGAGAGGGAATGGGAAAGAAGCATCCCCAGAGCCAGCAGGGGGGGATGGTATCTGCAGAGCTGCAGCAAGCAGGGGTCCCTGCAGCCGGGACTCACTGCCACTCGCTGACACTTTCAGCTCTGTCCCACATCTTGCTAAGCTCAGCAGAGGATGCCTGGCCAGCACAGCAGCACGGACACAGAACTCCTCTGCTGGGCATTGGCACATGCCCAGGTCTTCTACCCCCACCCCAGCCCAGGATGCTCTCCTGCATCAGCAGCCTCATCAGCAACCACTTGAGGACGTGCTCATCTTCGTGAGCATGCTCCAGCCCTGCTGCTTCTCTGTGCAGCAACACTTGAACACAAGCTTAATTTAAAGTATGCAGTTAAGTGTTTTGCTTAGCAGGAATGGATTTAAGTGCACGTTTAAAGGCTCCGTTGAACTGGCATTTACCAGCTGCAGAGCAACCTGAAAAGACTTCTCCCAGGAGCAGGAGGGTGGCTTTGCATTTCTGTCCTCTCTTCCTCCCTGAACTAAGGTTAACCACTCCTAGGGAAACAAGCAGAGCACCTCACTGCGAAAGGCTCAGCCAGCTCCTATCCAGACACTGGGTGCCAGTGTTGATCCGCTCTGCATTTTGCTGGAGACCATCCCTGGACAGAGAACAATCTTTGTTTCGGTAAAAAAAGCCACTTCCAACTTTAGAGCCTGCATTGTTTATCTGCGTATTGATCTTCTCTGGCTATTGGCTGATTACCCAGAAACAAGAACTGTAGCCAACTGCATCTGTTCCAGTAAACATTTCATAGCAGCAGCGAGGCGCCCAGCCCCAGGCATCACCCCACAATGCCAGGGCTGCCCCTGGGCCCTGCACACCCACAGCCCCACTATCTTCTTTCTAGCAGCCAACGCACATCAGCAGCCCTCTGGAGCCCTCAGAGGACCCACCAGGATGGCACCATGCTTCTGCAGGGAGCAAACCATATAAAACTCGCAGCTGTGTCCATTTCCTCAGTGGGATTTACAAACCACCATGTTCTAAAGAGAGGGAATGGGAAAGAAGCATCCCCAGAGCCAGCAGGGGGGATGGCATCTGCAGAGCTGCAGCAAGCAGGGGTCCCTG